AGTGACCTTGAGTTGAATTGAAGCATTGAATTTGATGACTTTTGAGGTCTCCTCTAGCTCTGAATCTATGATCTTATTTCCATAATTTTATGATTATGGTAGAATAATTTTATGTTGGTTTTTTTAAATCAAGCCAGTTCTCTTTTTTTTATACCTTGTTTTTATCCTCTTTTATCAATTTAAATATACAAAATTACAATTGGAGAAATAGTTTGAACTGTGTTTTGATAGAATTTAGAACTTAGCTTTTGCAGTATATCTTAAGTTTTGTATATTGTTTAAATAGTTTCTTTCATAGTTGCTCCACTTGCTTCATTGTGGTGGTATATATTCCATTATGGTATTGAAGTCAAAATATCTGTCTTCACTCTTTGGATTGCAGCGTCATGCCCTCTAGAGAGAAAACCTTTCTTAATTGCTCCTTCAGTAGGGATCAAGAGATTAAAGAGTTTTGTCCTTCACCCTTGGTAAATGTAAGAGAGCTCTCTGTGAGTATAACAGCCATTAATTTCTAATATAAGAAAATGAGGTTCTTAAGATAGTTTTTTAAATGCTTTAATATAGTCTTGTCCTTTCAAATGAAATCAATAAACATTTATTAAGCTTTTATTAATATCAATTATTAATTATTAATCAATTATCAATAAACATTTATTAAGCATTTACAAGCACATGCTGTGTGCTGGGCACTATGCTAAATGTTGTGAATAACAAAAAGAAGCTAAAGATAGTCCTTGCCTTCAAGGAGCTCACAATCTAATGGAGGAGACAAGATCCAAATAAATAGATCTACAAAATAATTAGGAAATAATTAAAAGAGGTAAAGCCCCAGAATTTAGAGGGCTTCCTATAGAAGGTAAGATTTTAGTTGGGATTTAAAGGGAGCCAGGGAGGTCAGTAGTTAGAGCAGAGAAGGGGAGAGGGTTCCAGGCATGGGGACAGCCAGAGAAAATGCCTGGAGCCGAGAGACACGGAGTATTTTGTTTGTGGAACAGTCAAGAGGTCAGTGTCACTGGATCAAAGAGTACATGTTTACTGGAAAGGTAGGAGGAAGCTAGCTAGGTAAAGAAGATGTTTGCTTTTCTTTCTTTCTTTTTTTTTTTTGGCTAGGCAACGATGTTAAGTGACTTGCCCAGGGTCACACAGCTAGTAAGTGTTATGTATCTGAGGCTGGATTTGAACTCAGATCTTCCTGAATCCGGGGCCAGTGCTCTAGCCACTGCACCATCTAGCTGCCTGTAAAGAAGAGTTTTGAATTCCACATTGAGCATTTTGTATTTGATCCCGGCGGCAAAAGGGAGCCACTGGATTTTATTGAAAGGGCAGTGACATAATTGGACCTGTGCCTTAGGAAAATCACTTTCTAGTGTCTGACTAGATGGATTGGAGTGAGGAGAGACTTTGAGGCAGGCTGACCCACCAGCAGTGTGTTTCAATAATCTAGGCATAAGGTGATAAGGGCCTGTACCAGAGAGGTGGCAATGTCAGAGGAAAGAAGGGCTGTTGTAAAAGTAAAATCGGCTGACCTTGGCAGCAGCTTGAATATTGGGAGAGTGGGGTGAGGAATGAGAGATAGTGAGGAATCAGGACAACTCCTAGGTTAAGAACTTCAGGGACTGGGTGGATAGTGTTGCCCTCTACAGTCATCAGGAAGGGACTTCTGTTTAGGACATACTGAGTTTCAAATATCTAATGGACATCCAATTTAAGATGTCTGAAAGGCAATTGGAGAGGTGAGATTGGAGGTCAGCAGAAAAATTGGGGCAGGATAGGTAGTTTTAAGAATTGTCAGGGTTGCTGTGACCTCGGTATGTCTTTAAAGTAAGCATAAGTAATGGCAAGTGAAAAGCAAAATTGATCTTTGAAAAGATTTATCACTGATAAAACTATTTTTTTCAGTCTCAGTACCACTAGAGGGCTCCCTTTGATTTCTAATAATTTGTTAAGGACAGTAAAAGAATAAGATAGTTTGGAATTTTCAGGAGCAGAAACTTCAGATGTTTTAGGTTTTACAAAAAACTAGCTTCATATTTATCAAAGGAAATCCTGAAAATGGCTAGTGGTAGGCAGTTAGGTGCAATGGATAGAGTGCAGGCTTGTGGTCAGGAAGACCTAAGTTCAAATCTGGACTCTGACATTTACTAGCTTTGTGACCTCGAGCAAGTCACTTAACCTTGTTTGCCTCATCTGTAAAATGAGCTGGAGAAAGAAATGGCAAATCACTCCGGTATTCTTTGCCAAGAAAATCCCAAAATGTGGTTACAAAGCGTCTGACAGAACTGAAACAAACGAGGGTGGTGGAAATCATTGAGATTATGCCATGTTATGATCATATATAATCAGTTGAATATAATATAATATCATATAATATAATATAATATAATATAATATAATATAATATAATATAATATAATATAATATAATATAATATAATATAATATAATATAATATAATATAATCAGGTGTGGGTTAACTAGATGTCCTTTGAGGTCCTTTCCAGCTCATGAGATTTCATGACTGAGTTTTATCCTGTATACAAGTATTTATCAGTGAATACAGGGAGTCACAATATGCTTCACTCTGAACCAGCATTTATTTGGTCCTATTGGGCAAATTGCCAGAAACAGTATATTGACAGCTCAGTGGATAAGCCCGGAATCAGGAAGATCTGCATTCAAATCGGTCCTCAGATACTTGCTAGCTAGGTGATCCTGGGCAAGTCACTAAACCTTAGTTTGCTCAGTTTCTGCATATCTAAAATGGGGATGATAATACCTACCTCCCAGACTTCTGAGGTTCAAATGAGATAACAGTTGTAAAGTGCTCAGCACAGTGCCTGGAACGTAGTAAGTGCTACGTAATTGTTAATTGTTATTACTTTCTTGGTGGTCTCGTTAACACCCATGGGTTGTTATTTTTATACTGATAAATTTCAGGTCTCTCTATCTAGCCCTGATCTCTCTTTTGAACTCTAGTCCCACATCAGCAAACTGCCTGTTGGACATTTCCAGCTAGATATCCTGTTATTCACTTTTGGTGCCTTTTCTCTGTGAAGTCTTGTGTGCATAATTTGGATTTTACCTTGTTCTTGGAAGAAGACCTGAGTTTGAAGCCTGTCTCAGATGACTACTAGCTGTGTTGTTGTTGATTCAGTCGTATCTGACTCTTTGTTGACCTCATGGACCAATATCATCCATGGGGTTTACTTAGCAAAGATATCAAATTGGTTTGCCGTTTCCTTGTCCAGTGGATTAAGGCAAACAGAGGTTAAGTGACTTGCCTAGGGTCACACAGATTATACTTTTCAGAGGCTGGATATGAACTCAAGTCTTCCTGACTCCAGGCCCTATAGGTATCTCAAATTCAGCATGACTGAAACAACTCTATTTTTTTCACCTTCCCTCCCCGCCCAGTCCTCTTCCAAACTTTGACGTTTCTGTTGAGGGCACTTTGGCATTGATCCATGTGTTGTCGAAGTGCACAACCTTTGTGTCATTCTTGACTCTTCTCTTCCTCACTCCACTTGTCATTTGGTTACCAAATCTTGATTCTGTTGATTGATTGCTCTTGAGAACATCTCTCACGTCCATCCCCTGCTCTTCACTTTTGTGCCCTTCACCTTAGTTAGACCCTTAACCTACCCTGTTTCATTAGCCTCCTAAGTGGCTTCTAGCCTCTTTCTTCTCTAATCCAACCTCAACACGACTGACAAAGTGATGCTCCTAAAGCACAGGTCTGACCATGCTGCTCCACTGGCTCCCTATTCCCCTTAGTATAAAATGTGAACTCTTCTATTTAGCACTTCAAGCCTTTCACATTTTGGTTGGAACCTAGCTTTCCAGGCATGTTACACATGCCTTTTCTCTTCATACACTGCACATTCCAGTCAAATGGATGCTTTCTTGTTCTTCCTCACATACAGTATTCCATCTCATCTTTGTGCCTTTGCAAAGGCTGTCTTCCAACTGCCCCCCCCCAATACCTTGAATGTACTTCTTTTTCTTTAGGCAGCTTAGTGTCTGAGGGATAGAGTGATAGGCCTGGTGTCAGGAAGACCTGAATTCAAATGTGGCCTAGCTGTGTGACTTTGGGTAAGTCTCTTCAACTATAAAATGGAGACCATAATAGCACCTACCTCCTAGGGTAGTTGTAAAGATCAGATGAGATATTTGTAAAGTGCTTAGCACTGTGCCTGGCACATAGTAAACACTTAATGAGTATAGCTCTGCTGCCCTGTCCTGCCCTCTCTCTTATCATCTCTAACTTCCATTGCATCGCTAGCTGGCTCTCTGCTAATACTGTAGATCACATGCACCAACTGATGTGCTCATTAACAATAAGCCTTTAGACACAATTAACTCTTAGCAAAGGCCTTTGTTATGCTGGCATAGTAAGATCAGTAGCTACAAAACACTCTCCCTAGACTTGGGGCTTATGCATGTACAAATACACATGGCATCCATGAGGAGAGTTGGCTCAGGGAGTGGTATTCTATAGTATTTAGGTTACTTAAGCTTCTCCTGACTTTCTTCCTTCTTCCTGCTGGCCTACTTTTTTGTGTATCTTACATCTGATTATCCATCCAGTGTGAGAGTGTGGTGGGGTAGGAATTGTGATGGGATACCTTCAGGCAGGCCAGGGATTATAACATCTGCTTCTAGGCCCAATTCTGGAAAGATAAGAAATTGAGGAGGTAGAAGATTAAATCGAGCTCACTTTCTTCACAGAGTCCTCATTTTTGATATTTTGTATTTTGTCATAGCAGAAGTGATTGAGTTCCAGTTGTATTATTCCTTTTTTTTTGTTTTGTTTTTAATGCTTAGCTATGTTTGTGGAGACGTTAAAACAAATGGTTAAAATGAGATTTTTGAGTTATTTGTGGATTTTAGTTATGTTTGAACCTTTCTTTCTATGGTAACAGGTGTCATTGGATATGTTAAAAGTGTTTTTAAATCAAAAATTAATTAATACAGCTTATTTTTCCATGTGTTTTCTTTTAGTTGGTCGTATTATGTTTCAGCTCTTCTCAGACATTTGTCCAAAGACATGCAAAAATTTCCTTTGCTTATGCTCAGGTAAGTAAAGTATTAAGTATTTTCTAGGGAAAACTTACTTCGATTACAACTGTCTCTTGACTGACAAAATGGATATTTTCCAGAAAAAGTAGAGTGTAACGAATTTTGTAAATCACTGTATTTGATTTCTCTGATAATACCAGGGAACCATTATTTTGGAAATAACAAAGAGTTGTAAGACTGCTACCCTCTTATGTGGTAAAATCTTCTAATGCAGTTTTTAAAAGTATGATTCAGAAAATAGAATTTACTTATTATAGTTTATTTTAAAAATTCAGTTCTAGTCTGTGACAGAATTCAACTTTACAGATCTAGAATTGTTAATGAAGACTTATTGCCCTTTATTATTGTGGGGAGATATATAAAATATGTATAATGTGCACAAAAATACTAACATACTTCTATCAAGTTTTTTTGTATAAATCACAAATAATAGTATTAATTTATCTGTGTAAAAATCTTGAATCACTTATGTTTCTAGTGCAAATCCCAATCACATCCTTCCTATATTATTGTAATGGAATTCAGGTTGGTTTTTCTCTCTCCGATTTCCTCCTTCCAATCTGTTCTGCATACCACTGCCAAATTAATCTTCCTAAAATATCATTTTTTCTATCATATCACTGTCCTGTCTGGGACAATGTAAATAATGTAAGTAAGCAATAGCTTACCTTAAATATAAACCCCTGCATAGCTTTCAGTGCCCTCCTTGATTTGTCCCCCCCCTTTATGTATCCACCTTTATTTCCCATTGTTCTCTAACAGGATTCCTCTGTTTCAGCCAGAAACACCCACTCACTATCCCCTGAACAGATTATACAGGTATCCCCTTCCCATCTTTGTGCATGCTATAACCTACATTCATCCTCAGTGATGATAATAACTCTTATTTCTCTAGCCCTTTAAGATTTATAAAATACTTTGCTCACAACAACCATATAAGGGAGGGAATGCAAAAATATGCCTTACAGATGAGAAAATTGAGGTTTAGAGATATTAGATGACTTGCCTCTAATTACACAAGCTAGATAGTCGCAAAACTAGAAATCAAATTCGTGTCCTCACCTGAAACCTAGTACTCTACCTATAAGAACCAGCTCAAATCTTACTTCTTCTCTATTTTAATCCACATCTAGAATTTTTTTCTTTGAACGCTTATGTTTCTTATAGTCCTTTCCATACAAGTTAGGAGTTAAGATATATTCTTTAGCTTTTTTCCTTTGTATCTCTCTTTATCACTCTAAAAAAGGGTGTTAGCTAATTGAGAGCTGGGGCCAGACTTTTGCTTGGATCCCCACCCCCACCCCATTGTCCTCAGTCTAGTTTTGGGAACATAGAAAGTCCTCCTTAGAAAATTATTATCTTCTTTAAAATTATATGTTTGTATACACACACATTATATGTACACACACGTGTGCTTGTGTATGTATGTATTTGAGGCAGTAACCTTTTTTTTCAGGTGAAAAAGGTCTTGGGAAAACAACTGGAAAGAAGTTATGTTACAAAGGGTCTACGTTCCATCGTGTGGTTAAAAACTTTATGATTCAGGGTGGGGACTTCAGTGAAGGTAAAGCTGAACATTGTGCATCGAACACGTGCCATCTGTTTAGATTTTAGAATGTTTCATCATTTATTTGCCTGAGTTACAACTTAGACTAGTGCTGGATGTATAGTTACTCAATGCTCGTTGAATGCCTCTTCTGATTTTTACATCCTAAAATATTAAAATGTTCTCCTCTTTTTTTTCCCATGAAATTGAATTTTAGTAATATAATTACTTCAAAGTACTCTAGACTTAGAGCTGGGAGGGACCTCAAACTTACGGTTCCCAACTTTTGTTGTTCTACAAACCTTTTAATTTATTATACTATTCATAATATTTGTAAGCAATTATATACTTCTTGAGGTACCATAAAAGAATTTGTAGCACAGACTCCTTGAACCAATGTCATGAACTTCTAAGGGGTTTGTGAACCATTAAATGGGAACCATTGTTTAGTCCAAGCCCCTCATTTTACAGGTAAATGCGCTGTGGCCCAGAGAGGGTAAGTGACTTGCTCAGGGTCACACAGGTAATGAGTAGCAGAGTTTGCAAGTCTTCTGACACCAGTTTTTTTTTTAACTCTTATGCTTTCTGATATTTTAGTGCATTCACTACTTGAAATAACTGAGCTTTTGTTGAAATAATGTTTGTTGTGGCAGGATTTAGCATCTATTTGGATGTTAGGGTTAAATGAAAGAGTCTTGCCTCATGGAGTTAAGTCCTGAGTTTTTAAAAGATTTTGGAGCAGTGTGGTTTTCATAATGTTATAGAAGTTTTTGGAAGTGCCTTCCAGCAACATAGGAACTATAAGACTAATTCCTTGAAAATAATTGTGTATATTAAGTTTAGCATTTATAATTTTCAGATTGTTTAATATAATCCGTATTTTACAGGTAATGGAAAAGGAGGAGAATCAATTTATGGTGGCTATTTTAAAGGTAAGGCCTAATATTTTATGGTTTTTGTTTCAATTCTGGGATAAAGAAAATTTGAATCCTAGACTTTTAATGAAAAGTTTAATAGTTCATCTTTTGCATGAAACTAACTTTGCATGAAAATACTTTTATCTGCATGAATTTTGGGGTAAACTTACTGTAATATTTAACTTTTAATTGACAAGATTAATTAAGGCTAACTTTATTGGTTAAACATGACTTTCAGCATGGAGGTTAGGCAACTTTATTCATGAAAACTCCTATCTTCCTGCCTAAAACTGTCAACATATTCTTTTGTTTATAGAGAATGTGGTCTTTTGCAAAATGAAAAGGTAAGAGAACGAAGCTCAGTAACACAAATTCAAACTCTGTTCCTTTGCACCCTTCCTAATAAATTTATGGACAGCCTGGGGCAGTTGATGGCTGGATTTCTAGAGTGCTTGAAGGTGTGGAGAATTCTGTATATGATTTCATACCTACATTTGTTTGGATTTCTTTTCTTTTCACGGTTGTCAGTTACTTGTCAGAAAAAAAAAATCTAGAGATTCTTTTCAATACAAGCAACAAATTTGTTTTAAAATGTGGTATTCCCTTCCTTTCCAAAGGTTTCTATGTTTTATTTTGTGTTACTAAAAAGATATGATTATAGCTATATAGTGTTAGCATAAAACTTCTAAAAAGTGACTTTACATTTTGCCTCTTTCCAAAAATGCCCCAGAAAAGAGATTTGCGAGGATTAATAGTGGGGGGTCTAGTTTCAGGTCTCGAAACTGAGAGCTACAGTGTTATAATAGCCATGTATATTTCTTTTGAAAAATTGGATTATTACTCTTTTCAGAAGCCTGTTTATAAGGTAATTATTTTTAAAGTACTCTATATTTCTATTGAATGAATTTTTATGACCAAGTGTTTGTTTTGAAGAAGGATGCTTATCTGAATGTTTTAAGGAGGCATGAAGAAAAGTGCAGAATAGTTGTCTTTTGTTAGAACATCTCTGTAAGTGCTTCTTGTCAGATTCTTTCTCAGTGTACTTTAAGATTGCAGTAGCTGATTTATTAATATGGTTCTGTTTGGCTGTGAAAATCTGAAGTTGTAATGCTATAGACTCTGAAGTAGCCTTAGATTTCATTTCATTGCTTTCCATGGCAAATGCTTGTGTCTTTTTAAAGTTAATCTTATTTTCATTTTAAATATATCTTTTCACTTTTGTTGCCTTGTTTTTGTTGACAGCTTTTGTAGTCTTATTACTTTTAAGTAGAGAGAACCCTTATCTTTACTCATAATTTAGATGTGTCCCTGACACTTAATTTATTTTATCTTTCATGATCTTAATTTGAATTCATTTATGTAGTGTAATTCCTATTTAGGAGTTCAATAAATAAATGTGCAAATATGTATATTTTTCAACTGCAACTATTTCAACTATTTTTCTGCTACTTCAGTATATTAAGCAAGAGTATTTGGAACTGTTGGGGAAAATAGCACTTTGCAATAGAATAGCTTTATAGCTTTTATTTATTGGCTTTCTATAATAGTTGGTAGGTATATCTTGTGAACAGTTTCTGTTTAAAAAAAAAGACTTTTCTAAGGCTATTTCTTTGAAATGTTAAAAAATATCAGGTTTTTTTCCCCTCAAGGCTTTAATAAGTAAATGTTGGGGAGCCTATCTTTTGTTGTTTGAACTTTTGCTATTTCATTAGACCTAATTTTCTTTTTTAAAGTATTCAGTCGGGTATCTGTACTGACCAGAAGAAGAATTTCATCCTTAACTTTCCATATATTACTATAAAAATTACAATTTAAAGTTGACTTATAACTAGAGACTGACTAATCTGTTCTTTCTTCAAACAGATGAAAACTTTGTTCTCAAACATGACAGAGCGTTCCTTTTGTCAATGGCAAATCGAGGGAAACATACCAATGGTTCCCAGTTTTTCATGTGAGTAGGCATATTTCAGAGTGGAGCTTTTCTAAAACAGAGAAGCGCTGTTCATGAGAAAGATGGTATTGCTAAACCAATTTGGTTAGAATTTTATCAGTTTAGTTTTTATGAAATCATTTACCTGCCTACTCATTTTGAATGTTACAGTAATTGTAATATCTAGCTGGAATGGTCTCAGCATTCAGCATTTGTCCTGGATTTGAAGAATGGAGCTTATAGAGATGTAACTTGAAGCTTGTTATTTCTTCAAAGCATTTTAAGTCATTTTACAAAAGAAATTGGCTTTGACTTTTAGGTACTCTAATGTCTCAGTAAATTGCGGGGCTCAGTTTACAGCCACCAAATTAAAATACACATAAATGCATACCAGTTTATTTATTGCCCAGTGTTTTGAAATTGCTCATGGAAGAGGACCAAATTGCCATGAGGCAAAGCATGCAGTAAGTTTGAGTAAATTGTTGTGTATTTTTGTTTTGAAATGTGATTTTTGTTTTTGTTTTAATTGAAGCTCTTTGAGTCAGTCTCAGAGGTGCCATTATTTTCTGTTTCTTAAATAAATATAACTGATTGCTTAAAAAGCCCTTCAAAAGTATTCATACTCAATGTGTTACATTTGCTTAATTATTTGAATTGGTCCAGTACACCTGCTGTTTCCTTCTTAATGATTGCCCCAGTCTATAACTATACACTCACATTATAGTATTCAGGAAACTTCAGATCTTTAGACCAAAAAACAAACCTAATAAAAGCTTTTACACACAAAAAAGAACTAACTCATCTCTTTCTTAACCGAAGTTCCTGCTGGATTCTGTAGCTTTCATTTTAGTTGTTTGGTTGTCTACAACATTTTCTATTCTATTTTTGCTCAAAAAAAGTACCCAAACTTATTTTGGTCATTGTTATTTAGAGTGAATGTAAAAGAGAATTGTTTAACATAAGGTATGGTGCATTTTATTGGCGGTAAACCTCACTGTTGGGGCATACATGACTAGAAAAATGTATTCCCAATGGCTTAGTCTAAAAAGTTTTCTTTGCCATCTTTTTTGAGTGGATGAGAATGAATGGCGCTTCCCTGTCATAAAGGATTAAATTGTTCATTAAAAATCTTACATTTTACTTTTGCCTGAAAAAAAGATTTCCCACATGATCTAAAAAAAAAAAGTTCAGATAAGAGACATTTTTAGGTCTATGCCTAAATAATGTTGTAAAAAATGGAAAGCTAATAAAACACAAAATGGAAGTCATTTCAGCTTTGTGCCAATGGTTGGGAAGTTAGTTTAGAAAGGTACACTAAAAACACTGGCTTGTGCATTGTATATTTTGGGAATACATCAAATGGTTTCTGTTGACTCTTCTTGAAGCCCAAAGTAAGTTAATCACAACAAATTTAGATGAAAAACTAATCTGGTTGTTTGGAATCATTTTAATGTAATAACTGCTTTTGATTGAGGTCAAGATTTCCATTTTTAAGCTTATCTGAACTCTGAACATGAAAAACTAATGATTTATCAGTCAAGAAGCTACCATCTGAGGGCTCTAAAGTTTCTTTTAGATTTCCTTTTTTCACATATTAGTAAATTTTAAACCTTGATTTAAAAATGGCAGTCACTTATCGTCATATTTAGATTAGGTTGTTTTTAAAAACTCAAATTTTTCATTTATTAATTCCAACATAAAACAATCTAGTAAGAGATTGCCCCTTTAAAAAAGTCATACTTTTAAAATTATAACATACCTAATGTTTATGTCCTTTGAAGAATGTTTAGGTGGAAAAATAACTGTCTGAAATAGGCTATTCTATTTTTTCATCTATCTTAATTTCCTTTGGAATATTGTTGGATATGAACCACAAACAAAAGTCAGCTATTTATGTGTATAGATCTACAAATTCAGGAGGATATATTCACATCCAACATCCATAAGCTTATAAGCCTCATATCTCAACAAATTAGGATTAAGAAGAAATTTTAAAGTTCAAAGACAGCCTGACTTTTATTTGATACCTTGCTGCATAACGAAACCAATAACATTCCAAGGCTATATATGTATATAGAGGCATTTATAGGGGAGAGAGAGAGAGAGAGAGAGAGAGAGAGTGAGTGAGTGTGTGTGTGTGTGTGTGTGTGAGTGTGTACACGTATGGAGAGAGATCTCTATATTCACATACTTGGTAGATAAATTCAAGGTATGTGTGGACACTGAAGTGTGTATGTATGTATGTATGTATGGGTATGTATTGAATAGTTAACCACAGGTGGCACTAAAATTATCTAAAAAGTTTAAAAGGTTGAGATAAAAAAGTAACTATTCTATTTTGGGTTTATTATTTTTGTTCTGAAAAGATATCTAGAGTAGAGGGAGTCCTAAAAGTCATTGAGCCAAATTGCATAGCAGTTTTCCCCACCATATCCTTAACTGGTTTTTCTGTCTGCTACTTTCATATGAACTGAAACCAGTGTCTTTGGTTGCAAAGATAAAATAAAAGCGATGTTCACAATTCCTAAAGTAAAATATTTTCTCTTAACTCTGAAAAATATTCTACTAGTAAAAAGTCTTAATGGGTAGAGATAGAAATGGCAAATAGTGCCATAAAGGGAGAGTGTATATTGAACATTTCTAATCTGTGGTTAGTCTATTGAACCCCAAATCCATTGAAAAGTTGGGAGTTGTCATTTTTTAAAGAAGAATAATGTACTATTTTTAGGAAACGTAGACATGGTGTAGTTAATAAAGTTGGGAGTAATGGAGATTTTCAGAGAGCTTTTAGAACCACCCTGGTACTCCCATGTGGCATGTTATCGTTTCATGGACTTCCTTAAACACCTTCACTTCATCCTACTTTACCTTATTCTTTCTTAGTGATAACTTTTTTTTTTCCCCAGAGATTCTAGAAGTTGAGAGGGAAAAAAGATGCTAACTACTTTCCAACAAAATCTAATAAGATGAAATTGAGTTGGGACAAAAGCAAAGTCTGACAGATAGGTTTAGAATGGGGAATCTTGGCTGACTAGAACTTCTTCTGAAAAATGATTTAGGTGTTTTAGTGTCAACAAGGCAACAGGCATTTATTTAAATGTTTACTATCTACCAAACACTGGTAAAGTAGATACAAGTAGAGAGTCCCTGCGCTCAAAGATATTACATTCTGCGGGGGGAAGACAGCATATAAAGAAGCTTGAAAGTATGAGGTGGAGTAGATATGAAGGTACCTATCAGAGAGGCATGACAGCAAAAGTCCAGAAGAGTTAGGAATGAAGACATAGTTGGTCTGAGTATCCTCCTTAAAAATGGATATTCTGGGAGAGACCAGCCAGTCAGAGGGAGAAGCTACATGAGTGGAGGGTATTTAAAGTATGTGGAATCCAAGGCTACAGTGAGTTTGCAGAGTGAAGAGGTTTCTGGGGTATTGTAGAGAAAGTCTGGGAGAGTCAGGAGTGCAGCCTGGAGAGGAAAGTGTCCCTTAGACTCGGTATTGGTCAGCAATGTGGTAATGCCAGGCAGAACAGGTCATGCAATCTTAGGCCATGTTTTGAGAGCTGTAGTGCCAGGGCTAGGGAGCTGTGATAGTCTCGCTGGATTCTGCCTTAGTCAAACCACATTTGGGGTCTTACATATGTATGTTCAGTTTGGGTACTACATCTTAGGATGTTGGGGTTATAAAATAGAAAGTGTCCAGGAGGAGACCACCAGAATGGATCAGAGCTTTGAGATCATGCTCATGTTAGGATTTGTTGAAGGCCCTGGGGACTTCAGGAGACATTGATATCCGTGTTCAAAGGTTTGAAGACCTGTCGAGAGAAAGAGCGATTAACTTTGCTTTGCTTAGCCCCAGAGACAAAATTAGAAGCTGTGGGTAGATGTTTCAGAGGGGCAAATTGCAGTTGGGCATGAGGGAAAACTTCCTGACAGCCATAAGTGAATTGGGGCCCTAGAGGTTGTGGGTTCCCCTTAGTAGAAACAGGTCTTTAAAAAGACTTGGAACAGCTCTTGTTAGCTGTGTTAAAAGGGAGAAGGAGGTGATTCTTGGTTGCTTACAGGTTGGACTTAGATGACTGTAACCTCAGAGGGCCAACCCTGAGGTTCTGTAATCTGTTTTGTAAGGTTTCCAGTAGGATCTTAAGATGGCTCTTGCAAGGCAGTATGTTGTGTGTGTTAGCCCATTTTACACTGGGGGCCCTCTCAGGGAGTTTAAAAGTGTGTAAAGTAAGATTCCTGTCACTACGTAAGGTGTTCTGTTAGTGGAAGCTGAAGATTTCCAGGTAGATTCTTAGATTTTGTTTGCTTTTGTTATTTTCTTCCCTATTTTCCCAATACATATTAAATATTAGTTAGAAATTCATGGAAGATTACTCCCCCTGAAATTAGGTTCCTTAAAATAAATGTAGTTATTTAGTCCTATTGGTTTTTGAAAATTTTGTTGCTGAGAAAACTACAACAAGGGACTAATAAAATATTATTGCCTGAGGAAATATGAACTCTTAACAAAGCATTATAGAGACTCAATATAAATGGTGTTACTAATGTATTAATATTAATGCTCAGAATCCTAAGTGAAAACCTGGAAAATTGCTAGATTTCAAGGCATGTGCTGCAGTTCACTGACTTGGGATTGTTAAGTTGGATATGTTGGCTCTCTTCAGTTTGTCTGCCCTTTTTTAGGGAAAGATCTAAATGAGACCACAATATAGGCATCACAGAATCTTAGAATGTTTGTGCTAGAGTTGACCTTAGAGGTAATCTAGTCAGATCCCTTCATTTTATAGAGGAAGACATTCAAGGAACTAAAAATAGCTGGAGAAAAGTCATTATGGGAAATTTACATGGAAAATACTGATAGGCAAGAGTCCAAATGTTCCATATGCAAAAAACTAGGCTTTTACTGTCCATTCACCAAGTCAGTGGATTTATTTTAATTGAATACAAGGACTTTATGGGAGTACAGGAAAATGAAAGGGATGCTGGGGGAAAACTACTTATGTGATCATGTCTTTAGTTAT